GGGGAATACAATACCATCCATGGCACACCTTCAGGACAATTCCAGTGTCTCCTGTTAACCCTTAAGATCTCTTCTCCCCTTCTCTTCACAAGCTCTATGCATGCAGTCACTGATCGCTACTCCCAGGTCCACTGGCTTCTAATGAGGTTTGGCCAATGGGGAACATTGGCAAGAAATTGGAGTGTAAGAGGAGGAGATTGAGGGCTCAGGTATGCATTCACCTGCCCCCAGCCTGTAGGGCCCACACAGGCTAGCATGTCCCCTGACCACCTTCTGTTAGCCCCCCTGTCTCCAGCTCCCTTGACTCCCCTCTCTCTGTGCCCCTTCAGGCCTGGGAATGGTTATTGACCCCACACTGTCTTTCCAGGTTTTCCTTCACCATGCTTGGTTATAAAATAATCCCCTCAAATTATCTGTTCAATACAAGGACATTACCTCTGTCTGGAAGGGACACTTTCAGGGCAGCAGCACCCCACTGTCCTTTCAACTCAGGACTCTCTCAACCCAGTGGATCCCCAAAGAGCCCCTTAGCAATGCCATTGCCCCCCCCCTTAGTGGTGTCTTCTATGAGTGCTGCTGGAAAAGAATGACCTGTGTTCACACTTCTCACGGAGTCCCCCCTTAGGGTGGGATTGCAGAGAATTTGGGAATTCGAAACTACATCCTGCCCTTTGAGGGCAAGGCATGCATCCATTCTTTATCAGTTCTAATCCTACCGCCATGTCTAGAAAGAACTTGAGGACTGCTCTGCTCTTACATCCTAAGGCCAAGCTTCAATGAAGACATGGGCGATTTGGCCAGAAAGGGTGCAATAACCATTAGCCTTCTTTTTGACCAAAAGAAGTCTATTGTAAGGATTTTAGCGCAGGGTGTGGCTCCAATCAGTTTTCAAGGTCTGGCATTTTCTTTTTTGTTGTTGTTTGCTTTGAGACAGTCTTTCTCTGAGCTCTGTTGCCTAAGCTGGAGTGCAATGCTGTGACCATAGCTCACTGTAGCCCCGACCTCCTGGGCTCAAGTGATCCTCTCACCCAGCCTCTCTAGAAGCCAGGAACACAGACACATGGCACCATGTCCAACTAATTTTTTATTTTTTTCTTAGAGACAAGGTCTCGCTATGTTGCTCAGGCTTGTCTCTAAGTGCGGGGATTACAGGCATGAGCCACTGCACCCAGCCCCTTAGCAATTCTGAGAGACCAGTTTGCTGTCTATAAGATGATGATAATGTAAACTTGGATTGTGCAGAATAATGTTTATAGAATGGTTGGCACATAGAAGATTTTTTAGAAATGTTAGCCTCTGTCATTTTTAATACAACCAGTGGATCTTCTATGGGTGAAACCCCTTTTGGCCATAACATAAAATTATCTTTTAAGAATTCAATCTGTTTTCCCTCTTAGTAGAGGAATTAATGTGTTCGTTTATATTTTTAATTTATTTTTTGGCAGGGAGTATTTATCTTGTTTATTCATATTAACTTCTGTGAAATGAAAACAATACAAATTATATTTCAGAAGTTTTGTGTGGGTGAAATAAAGTGTTGAATATAGAAGCTCTATGTAGATTATTATGAAATAAGATATTATGGTATTTAATACTGATGATATAAATTTAAAAGAACTTAGTTCTTTTTTAAGGCATTTTAGACAAAAGGCACAAAGGTATTTATTATTTAATGTAGGCCATATTTCCTTCAGCCTGAATTCTATATTTGATCATTCATTTTTCTTTTTGAAGATTTAATTCTTTTTTTATTTTTATAAAAGTAATACATGGTCATGGAAGATTGACATAAAAAAGAAAATAAAAATCTTTTCTGATCTTACCATAGAGGATAACTTCAATTACATTGTCACTTTATAGTATGCATCTAAATTTATGCATATAAACTTCTGTATATACACACTTTTTTTGTCTTGCCCTTTTTTTTTTTTTTTTTGAGATGGAGTCTCACTCTCTCACCCAGACTGGAGTGCAGTGGCACAATCTTGGCTTACTGCAACCTCTACCTCCCAGGTTTAAGTGATTTTCCTTGCCTCAGCCTCCAGAGTAGCTGGGATAACAGGCATGCACCACCACGCTATTTTTTTTTTTTTGTATTTCTAGTAGAGACGGGCTTTCATTGTGTTGGCCAGGCTAGTCTCCAACTCCTGACCTTGTGATCTGCCTGCTTCAACCTCCCAAAGTGCTGAGATTACAGGTGTGAGCCACCATGCGAAAGGCCCCTCCCCCTTTCTTTTTTAAGCTACAGGATCTTGTTCTGTCACTCAAGCTGGAGTGCAGTAGAGCAATCATAACTCACTGTAGCCTCGAACTCCTGGCTCCACGCAATCCTTCCACCTCAGCCTCCAAAGTAGCTGAGACTGCAAGCATACACCACCTCACCCAGCTGTTTATTTTTAATTTTTTGTTAATATGTGGTCTCGCCCTATTGCCCAGGTCAGTCTCTAACTCCTGGCCTCAGATGATCCTCCTGCCTTAGCCTCCCAAAGCACCGGGATTATAGGTATTGACCACTACATGGAGTCTACACACATTTTATCCTAAACTGAGACTGCTATGTCATTTTGTATCCTAGGTTTATAACTACATTATCACAAAAGTGTTTTCTAAATATTTTCTTATTAAATATTTTTAAACATCAAGTTACTTTTTAAAAATAGTTTAATTTAATTTTATACATGGGCACACTGTTATAATTTTACATACATATATATACACATGTGGTTGTGCTTGTACCATATATGCTTTTCATTGTTTTGTGGGTCTTTGTCTATCATCTGTTATGGTGCTGTTTAAATCAGGTGGGTTTTTGCACAATCTCGTGTGTTCTGTTGACCTATCAGGTGACGCCCTGTGGGATCCTGAGTTTTGCCTGTAACACAGCCCCTCAGTATCTGATAGAGAGAGAACATATGGATGATGAGTTAGAGCATTCTTTCTTTCCATCTGGTATGGTGTTCTGTCTCTGAGGTCTAGACATGAGTTCGTCACCATGGTTTCTCAGTCTGACCACCCCCACCATAGCAATGTGTAATCCCTCCTAGAGATTAACATAGCATTGAACAAAATTCTCAGTTTGTGATGGCTTTGTGATTTCTGTACCTTTCTCTGTATATCATGAATATTTTGATGGGACGTTGAGCAATGGTAAACCAGGCCCAACTGTCTAGCAACAATAGCAACTGAAAGTTTATCCCCTTCTCTTTTCTTGAATATTTCCAATTCCTGGGTAATCATAAAGCATTTTTTCCAAGTTCAAGGACAAAAAGAAATTAATGTTCAGGTCTGTCAAATCATGTCATAAATATTCTGTTTCTTGAGGATTCAAGGTCTGGAAGAGTTTATCACAGATACTCCAGACTTTGTTTTCTCTTTTGCTTTGGCTTTTTCCAGAAATTCTAAGCAGTATCTCCCAAATGCTTTTTCTTCCACCTGGTGACCAGAAAATTAGGATCTAGAAGGAAAAGTCTCCACCATCACCAGCTTGTGACTTGAGTTCTCACTTCCTAATACAAAATGATGGATTTGACCTAGATGTCTTCCAATGTGCCTTCTAGCTTTAAAATTGTAACATTTCTTAGGGATTCAGCTACAGCTATTTCCAGAAATACTCTTTATTTTGGCTTAAATCTCTGTTTTCTCCTGAATACATCATCTTATAGACTTGTATTTCTGTATTCTACTTTGCTTCTACTTCTCATTATTGAGGACTTTAAGAAAGTTTTTTTTTTATTGGAGATAGAGTCTAACTGTGTCACCCAAGCTGGAGTGCAATGACATGACCTTGGCTCAGGGCAATCTGCAACCTCTGCCTCCTGGGTTCAAGCGATTTTCATGCCTCAGCCTATTGAGTAGCTGGGATTACAGGTGTGCACCACCATGCCTGGCTAATTGTCTTATTTTAAGTAGAGATGGGATTTTCCCATGTTGGACAGGCTGGTCTTGAACTCCTGACCTCAGGTGATCTGCCCACCTCAGCCTCCCAAAATGCTCAGATTACATGCATGAGCCACCATGCCCAAACAACAAATTATTTTAGTTATTTTTAGCTACCAGGTTTTGGCATGAAGAATGTGACACTGTCTTCTACCATTCTAAGAAAATGTTAATGGATCTATGGTCACATATGTTTGGAAAAATTACATTAGACTGTGTTCTGCTCTTAGAATTTTGCAATAAGCATTCATTTATTAAAGGTTCTTAGAGGTTTTGCAATAAAGACGCTAACTTAATTTTGTTTAACTCAGGGATTCCCAAACATATGTGACCTTGAAATCCTTTTATTTATGGTAGCATCCATTAATGTCCCTCAATAATTTGTGTCTATACCACGCATGGGGAGATCGGCTCTATAGAAAGAAGTGCACAGTTAGTACTTGCTTCTGACACTCACTGACAGTGTGATTTAGTATAGAGGCATAACCTCTGTATACTTCATGCTCCTCAGATGTAAATGAGGGTGCATAATAGCACCTAATTCTTGGTGGATTCAAAGATTTTAAACAACAGTACATAAGTGTGGTAATTGCAACTAATAATATCCCAACTCTCAGGTCTCACTGTTTGTGTTCAAATTTTGGCCCTACCATTTATTGCTTATGACCTTAGGAACAATTACTTAACTTCCTTAAAAAAATTTTTGTTAATTGAATTGCTTAACTTCTGTACCTCTGTTTCTGTACAGCATAATAGGGACAGGAAGTGTGCCAGCCTCACAGGATTGTTGAAAGAATTCAATCCAGTTCATGTAAAACGCTTTGAATTGTGCTTGGTCCTTAAAGACTGGCCATTATGGTCATCATGTGTGCTATTGTAACTTCTCTGACCGTTTTAGTGTATAAAAGCAACTCCTCTTACTTCATTCCCAAAAGGCGCTTAAGCCCAGCATTTTAAGATAGCAACACACCCACCTGCAAATATACCATTTGGCTCAGTTGATGCTGACCTCTTCATTTAGAGTAATTTCACACCATCATTTAGCTTTCTCTGTTCGTGAACAGGGGCGGAGAGGCCTTGGCTCTGTGTTTGTTTGGGCATCTGGAAATGGCGGAAGGAGCAAAGACCACTGCTCCTGTGATGGCTACACCAACAGCATCTACACCATCTCCATCAGCAGCACTGCAGAAAGCGGAAAGAAACCTTGGTACCTAGAAGAGTGTTCATCCACGCTGGCCACAACCTACAGCAGCGGGGAGTCCTACGATAAGAAAATCGTACGTGACATTTACATGCCCATCATGATCTGTTTATTTAATGTTCAAATACAAAGGGAGAACCATAAATAGATATAGACAAGTAATACATGGTAATCAAAAATTAGATTAGCTGATAATACAAAAAGGTGTAAACATTACCAACTGAAAATACTTGTCCAGTCATCACATTGCAACATTTAATGTGGCCTTAGACATGATTAACCTTCAGTTTTATTGAGGATACATGATTGGTTCACATTTACATTGTGAGTTAGTGACAGAGAAGAGACTGGAGTCTACGCCTGACTCAGCCCTGTGCTCCTTAGTGCTTTGGTTTCTAAGTACAGCCAGTTCAGTGTTCAAAACAAAATGCATAAGGAAACTCAGAATTTCATCGAATCTATACTTAGTTAACATGAACTAAACCTCTATAAAAAGGTGTGTTTCTTCTTCTTCTTCTTCATTTTTTTGAGACAAAGTCTAACTGTTACCCAGGCTGGAGTGCAGTGGTGCGTGCAATCTCAGCTCACTGCAACCTCCACCTTGTGGATTCAAGCGGTTCTCCTGCCTCAGCCTCCCAAGTAGCTGGAATCACAGGCATGAACTACCGTGCCCAGGTAATTTTTGTATTTTTGTAGAGACAGGGTTTCACCACTTTGGCCAGGCTATTCTCAAACTACTAACCTCGAGTGATCTACCCACCTCAGTCTGCCAGAGTGCTGGGATTACAGATGTCTGACACCACACCTGGCTAAGGCGTGTTTCTTTTCTTTTTTTTTTTTGAGACGGAGTCTCACTCTGTTGCCAGGCTGGAGTGCAGTGGTGTGATCTCAGCTTACTGCAAGCTCCACCTGGGTTTTAAGTGATTATCCTGCCTCAGCCTCCCAAATAGCTGGGAATATAGGTGCATGCCACCATCCCCAGCTCATTTTTGTATTTTTAGTAGAGACAGGGTTTCACCATGTTGTTCAGGCTGGTTTCAATCTCTTGCCCTCCTCGGCCTTCCAAAGGTGCATTTCTTTTTTTTTTTTTTAAGACGGAGTTTCGCTCTTGTTACCCAGGCTGGAGTGCAATGGCGCAATCTCGGCTCACCGCAACCTCCGCCTCCTGGGCTCAGGCAATTCTCCTACCTCAGCCTCCTGAGTAGCTGGGATTACAGGCACGCACCACCATGCCCAGCTAATTTTTTGTATTTTTAGTAGAGACGGGGTTTCACCATGTTGACCTGGATGGTCTCAGTCTCTTGACCTTGTGATCCACCCGTCTCGGCCTCCCAAAGTGCTGGGATTACAGGCGTGAGCCACCGCGCCTGGCCCCCAAAGGTGCATTTCTTATAGGCAGCACAGTTTGCTGGATGGAGAAGCACAGAAGTTGTATGGGATCCCCCGTTTACCAACATATCCTGCACTCTAGGTAAACAGCCAGTGTGATTAAGAGTTCATGAGGCAGGCTCAGCCTGCATGAGTTTCCTTCACTCATGAGCTATTTGCTAGTTGAGTAATTTTGGACAAATTAATCTGTCTGTCTCAACATACTTATATATGCAAAGAGGACATTTAGTAGCACATAGTTCATGGAGTGATTACAGAATAATGACGAAGGCAGTAAAAACTGCTTAGCACAGTGCCTGGGCCTTCAGTGCTTAGGAAAGCTCTAACCTTTTGGGTGGTGTCCAGCACTGTGCTGCTGATTACAAATTTCAAACACCTTTGCACTTTGTTCTTTTTCCTGATGATGATTTTGTAAACTGGCTCAGGATTTGTCTTTTTAAGGTAGAGCTAAGCTGCGGTACCTGACACTTTTTAGCATTTAGCCAAGACCCTGCTTTTGGCTCTAACAGATCTATGCAGGTTGGGGTCACTCTATTGGTGCTACAACTGCCTTTCCTGCAGTCTATAGGGGATAGAACTGACCTCCTTTGTGCAAGTCTTAATCCACATCCATTATATTCCTCTTGATTCTTGGATATTATGTGATTTTTATGTTTGATTTTTCACCTTCTCTTTACTGCCTTCTTTAGTTACATTTTGTAGATTGATTTCGGTAAAAATTGCCTCCCAGTATCCACGTCCCATCTTTCCCCAATGGCTCCATGACATCTGTGTTTAAATATATGCACCCAATTCCACTTCTCAGTACTTTCATCATTCATCAATAAGCATAACTTCGAAACACTAAGTAAAATATAAAAAGTGAAAATGCAGAGATGAGCTTTGCATTTGAAGTTTCTGGCTTCCTTAACTGGAAAGTGATGCTCCAATGAAATTTTGCCTTCATTAAAGAAATACTATAATCTAGAAATATCTCTTTGCTTTTAAATAAGAAGACCTTGTGTCTTCTAACTCGTGGTCAAAGTCTGCTAGTATGGAGTGACATCCATAAGTCCTGCATCGTGAAGTACCTGATGAAAACTATGGAGTAAGAGTCCTCATCTTTTACCTCTAGAGTCTGAAATCATCTTAAGTCAAACTCACTATTGCCTCGAAATAATTGTGCCCATTTAGTGAGTCCTATTATTCTCTGTCGGGTACTTGCTGTGGGGAGGGTATTGTTAACTTTTATAAATGCCTTTTAGAAGAGAAGCATATAGTCTCATGGTAAAACGGTTGTCTTGGTCCAGATGGCAGAACACAGTGTGTGCAGAAGGACTGCAAAGTCACTGCTGTGAGTTTTACTCTCTAAACTTAACCCTCCTGGGCCCTTCATTGTGATTTGCTGTGGTTGTGTGGTTGCTGCTGTGACTCATGGCAAGCATGTCATATAGGATTCTCCCATGGGTAGACAAATTGATACATTCTGTGGGCAGGGAGAGAGCTTGCTAGGGAAAGTGGACACTGACTAAATGTTAATATCCTTCGTGAGGCCATGTACTTTTCCCCAGTTTTTGCTTGTGATATCAAAGCCTTCACTGACTCACTCTATGTATTTAACTTATATGTTTTTCTTCCTTTTCGTTTAATGCCTTTCTTCTGTTTTTGTGAGATTATGTTAGCAAATTTTCTCTAGCTAGCTCTTAGATTCCCTTACTTTGCCCAAATCTCCGAATTACCCCCAATTTGAAAAGACATTTGGAAGCTGTTTGTATTAGTCTCTAGCTTCAGAGAGACTACTCAGTGGATAAGCAACCCTCATGGAGTCTTGATTGCCCCATCTGTAAAATGGAGATAACACCAGCACCAACCTCAGAGATTTCCATGAAGATAATAAAATACTGAGTTAAGGTACCTGACACCTGGTACACAGGAGCAGCTCAATGCATGGCCAGTGGCATTGTTGCCTAAGTTCCTGTAGCTTTCTGCATCCTGGGAGGTTAGGGCATTTTTCCAGCTGCTGTTAAGAGAGGTGCTTGTTGTACCTCAGTTTTTCCAATCTGTAAAACACTCCCATCTGTTTCACCCATCCCACAAAGAAAGACATTCTGATCGGGAACTCGTTAAGTTTGAACATGAGTGGAGCTGGCAGCAACATCAGCCTTTTATGGTCCATCTGACCCCTTTTCCTTCTAGATATCAGAATGACAAATAATCCTGGGTTGCGCCTGGTACCTTTCCTTCACGAGGCTTTGAACCCAAACACTTTTGGTCCCTCAGTGATGCCCGCATCCCGTTAGTCACGTACGTGATTGAGTGTTACAGGAATGGTAGTGCCTGTTTTTCTACTAGGCCCTCTTCCCTGAGACTCTCATTTCCTTTTGTCATCTACAGCCTCTTCAGAAGAGCACAGTTGTCATTCTTCATTCATAGAGCACCTTTGTGATTTGAACCAAGACAGTTGCTGAGGAGAGAGGAAAAAAATCTCCTCTCTGCTTCTGGGAGAGCATTTTTGTTAAATAAACTTTACTTGTTCTGCAAAAAATGACGTTTCATGATAAGCAAGCAGGAAAACCTTGCCTTTAGTTTCAAAACATAGGGAAGTCCCTGTCCCTTGGTTTCCTGCTGTTACTGCTAGCACAGTTGTGGACCTTGGTGTTTCATTCATGCTTTAGTAGATGTGGATCAGCAGCAGCCTTATATCTTATTATAGCAAAGGAAGCATTCAAGGTATAGAGATTACAATGAAAGAAGCTCTCTCATAAGCTGAATAGAAATCATTTAAAATGGCTAGTTATTTTAAAGTCCTATAGTGAAAGAATGTTTTTATTAACATAATTGTTCGCATTTTATTACATGTCTTGCAAGTAATACATTTATGTATTAGCATGTTGAAAATATCACATTTTTTGCCCCCTCTTTTGTGTCTGACACTGTGCTGTGCACGTCGAATGCAACATCTCATTGCATTTCTTGGGAAACTATGCAGAAAGATCATGGTGCTCCTACTTTACAAACAAGAAAACTAAAGCTTGAAAAGTTAAAACCAACAAGCAAACAAGCAAACAAAAACCACAGCTAGTAAATTGTATAGCTTGGATTCCAGTCAAAGTCAGGATGGACCCCCAAACTCATCTTGTAACCAGTGTGCTATTCTGCCCTGATACATCTTAGGGACATCCAGTATGGGGCTATATGAAAGAATAGTGCTTTTCTTACCTGTTCTGTGTTCTCTTCAGAGTTGTAAAGAAGCATTTAGAATATATACATTTCCATTGATTTTCACTATTTAGCCTACTCATTTTGAATTTCATTCTTTTTCATACTCGCTCAGACAATTGAACCTCTTGCAAAAAACTAAAGTTGAGTTGCTAGTTCCTGTGGCAGCAGCGTTAGCGCTGAGCCCCCAAGGTCATGGCTTTTGTCTGATTTTTCAAACCAGAGCTCTCTGATGTGCAGAGTGCCCTCGGTTAGAACATTCTTCTACCAAATATCACTTCATTGATGTCTCCTCTCAAATTCCACCTCAAAGAGGATGTTCTTCATCACCTTTTCTAAAATAGGGGCACACCCCTCCACCACTCTCTACCCCTTTACCCAGTTCAGTTTTTTCTAGTGCACTTACAGCTACTTCACGTGGTAGTACCTATTTTCTTATTTACTGTTTTTCATGCTACAATGGAAACTACTTGAGGATGAAGACCGTGT